GCCTCACTGAGCTGGTTTTATCTGCAAAGACGGGAAGTACATTAGATAGGAATAAAATCAGTGTGGTCTGGCATTCTTTGCAAGGGAATCTACAGAGCAGGCACAATGTGATCCACCAGAAAAAAGCCAGTGGTTTACCAGGAACCCTCGATCTGGCTAACCCGGTACTAAAGCACCTGCACTTATACAGAAAAAAATACAAGAGGTTTCAAGCTGTGACTACAGCCTTGTTTTTAGTTGCGTCAGTCGCTAATTACATTTTCTCAAGGGTATATTCCCTGCACATTTGCCAACAAAAAACCTGCCACCACAAGAACTTCAGCCAAAGATATAAAGTTATCACTTACTCTCCTGTAGCAGGGATGTTGTTGTTGTTGACTTGTGACACATGAGAACTGCAAGAGAAGAAGTTTCATGTTAGATTTGAACAGCGGCAACAACAAAACTGTTAGATAAACTTAGTGTTTCATTTGGATGTTGAATTATCTGTTTGATGAATACATGTTTTCACTGTCAGCTAGGCAATCAACTTCAAAAAAAATAACACAGACCAGATATACTTTGGGCCAGGTACACACATGTGTGAGTATACACCATTTGATTTGTGTACACTTGGAAAGTTGAATAAGTGACTCAAACCCATTGAGAAGAGTCATAGTAGTGGTGTTACACTTGTGTTGGTGATTAAACAAGTCAGGGGATACGTAAGCAGCTATGAATCAGCCTTTGATTATAAAGGATCAGGGGACACTTCTCATTTCTGGGAAAGTGGTTGCAACCCACCTAAAGCAAAACAACAGAATAGGTCATACACAACACGCAAACACAATTATAGCCTCTTCCACAATTTTACAAACAGCGTTCATAGGTAACTTTAATAACAATTGGCATATGAAGGGGTGGAAGGCGTGGTTTCCCAGCAGGCTCCAGCCAAGCTGTGGAAAGCTACTCTAAAGCTTGGCAGGATGGTGCATCTGTAAATTCATTAGGGTAATGAAGGCCCCACTAGGATTGCACAGAACTCCCACTGTCTATGCAATAAAAACACCTGTTGGCTGTTGCCACTGAATGGTTGTGAAAAACTCCATGCAGATACAGGGACATACAGCCTGCTTGCATCTGTGTGTGTGCGCGCACGTGTGGCTTCTGCCAGTACACAGGTAGAAGGTTCTCTCTTACACACACACCCCCAGTTTACCATGCAACACAGTGTATATGCAAAGAGCACACGGTTTTCCCACACATGCAAAGTTGTCGGGGTGGGGGGGGGGCTTGCTTTGATTCCTGTTCTATTCTTCCGCCTAAATTGAATTCCAAGCTCATAGAACAGCACGATGGCCCAGATGTTGCTCCCTATGTAAAGCTTTGCCTACTGAAGAAGCAGATGTGCCATGATGCAAGGTATTTCTCCAAATTTTGACGCAAGGCAGGCTTATATTCGAGGCTCGTGGAATCTCCTTTCCCTGCTGACTCAGCTTTGCAGATAAGAGGGCCATGTGACATTTTACTGAAGTTCACCCTGACTACAGTATTCATTAAATCAAGTTGTTATGAGCTTAAACATTTCATTTGGCTTTATCCTCTTACCGGCAAGAGAATTAGTTGGCCCAGCTGGCAGGCCTGCTTGTATGTAAATCAACCCGACACAGTTACACTGCAGGACAGTGTAAGGGAAGGCGACACGATGAAATCTCTCAGCCCCACCATGTGTTTGATTGATTCAGAAATAAGCAACAGCCAAACACAGAGAGATGGGTCACTTTTATTTCATGCAGGGTTGAGCACTCACTGAACCGAGACTCAGCTTATTGAGTGTAGATTGCCAGCTCGTGTTAAAGGAATGGATTGAAAATCCATTAAGGAGCTAGCTCTCATGATTTATTTGCATTCCTGTCTATTCATTCATACAGTGGCAGGATGGGGCAACATCCACTTCTCAATTAGCCATCATGAGAGCCAGTGTGGTGGTTAGAATGTTTAACTGGAGACCAGGCAATTCTGGATTCAGGTCCCTACTTGGCCATAAAGTTCACTGGCTGCCTTTGGATTTAGCCACTGACTCCCAGACTAACCTACCCCACAGGATTGTGAGAATAAAATGGAGAGGAGGATGGCCATGTAAGCCCCTAGGGTTCCGTGAAAGAGGAAAAATATGGTTAAAAATATAATAAATAAATTATTCTTGTAAATTATTACATAGAGCTTCCTCATCGCTATTCACAGGATGATTGCTTGAGTAAACAAGATTACTGTCCCCTTAAGATAATATTTTCAGGTCTGTTTCACTTGCTACATTTTTTGTACAATTTTTGCACACAGGTGTGCATGCAGAGAATGTACAGCCATACACTGGTACACATAAACGCAGGGACTTTCCATGATCCCTGGCAGATGTCTTTCCTCTAAACCACTACCTGCTGTAGAGGTGCCAAAGCAGGAGCAGAAGGCAAGAGAAGCCCCTGCTCTGTCACCAGGCCTACTGTCACCCTACACATTCTGGAGGAGCTCCCAAAAACCTAACAGGAGCAGCTCTTCTCAGGCCTTTCTCCAAGAGCCAACCCCTTGAGAGGCTCCGAGAGCGGCAACTAATGTGAAGGCCTTTTCTGTGGTGGCTCCCATCTTTGGAAGAACCTCCCCACTGTGGCCCACCTGGCACCAAATAGGCCATCTTTTTGGTGCCAGGTTAAGGCAGCCCTTTTTGTGGAGGCCTTTAAAGCCACCCCTGGTCTTTCAGGGGCCTGACACGCTGGGTGCTTTTCTTATAATCATGGCCAGGTCTTTTTATTGTCTTTTAATCTTCTAATGTAATGTATTTTATGCTATTTTAAATTAATTTTAAAATTCTTGTTAATGTTTTACTGTATTTTATGGCTTTTCTGCTTTGTTGTAAACAGCCCAGAGAGCTTTGGCTATGGGCACAAGGTTGGGGAAGGCTACTTTACACAAAGAGAAACCCAAATCAGTAATCAAGTGCACACTCCACATGATAACAGAAACATAATGTACCTGAACACTCCTCATGATTATTTTAGAGCAAACATCCTCTTGAAGCAACTTCCATAAAGGACAAACAATACAATATACACACGGGCACATGTGTTTGCAAGGTTACTAACTGATAAGAAAACAGAACTGGGGTCTGCAGACATCGCTGTTTCCAAAGGAGGCTGACACGTGCCTTCTTACAGCATTTGCACACTGCAGCTGGCCTGCAAACTTGCGTTATCACCATGTTTGCAAGGCTGCTGTTTTTGTTACTTAATTTCACACAATTCTTTCACTTTTCTTTGGCCAAATTATCACTCGCAAACATGTACAACAACGCCTGCAGTTAAAGTACAGATTTTTTTCGGGGGAGGGAAAACTTACACTGGGACTAGGAAATTGCAGAACAATTAGAAACGTGCATGGCTCTCCACTATAGCAATCATTTTGGCATTAAAAATGATCCCAAAGACATCAAAAACAACGGAACCCCTGAACTATAGAGCACAAACCACTTCCATAATTTGGCTTCTTTCTTCTGTCATTTCTCCAATTTAATCCCAACCCATTTGAAGAGGCTTCCATTCCAAAAAAAAAGAAAAACGGTGTCAGAACTCGATTGTATGCATTCGCTTGGAACATGTAGTTAGCATGTTTTTTACCTTGGTATTAGCGAACTGGTAGCTATTGGCTCTCTCCATGGTACCTAAGGCAAAGCAATCTCCACTGAAGGACAAGCAAGAAGCCACTGTTTTCATAAACTTTGGTTCCTTCTAATTGGACCTGGTGAATAGACAGGAAGGGGTCTGTCTCCACCATTAGTGCCTCCTTAAGGAAATATATCTGATATTTTCAAACACAGATATGGTACTGTCACAAAAGCCCTGTATCTCATGAGCCTATTGTTTTTGCTTGCTTGCTTGATTTAAATATATAGTAAGAATTAGGCCTGTTAGTAACAGTAACAGAATTACTGTTTTTGTTATTTGGCTCATGGACCAGGTGCTAGTTTTAAAATTGCCTCGATAAAATACTTTCCTTCTGATTCTGCCAAACATCTGTAAATGCCAGCCCTGCATATGAATTTCCACTTATCTGACTGAGCATTTTTACCTGACTAGCCAAAGCATCCCTATTCAGGCACTACCTGAACCAGCTGGAACTGTATTATCTAACCAAGTTGATGTTCAAAATCCACTGAGTTCACGTTTTCTGAAGTACATCCTGCTTATCTTAGAAACTTGGTGCTAATAATACTCAGCTTATCAAATGGAAGGCAAGGCACAGAACATTCTTCATGCACAAACAGGCTAGGCTTCCAGAAGGACAAATCTTATTGCAAATGAGGTATTGCTTTTTACCATAAGCTACAACCAGAATCGTGGCTAACTTTATATGCGTTGGGAAAGTCCTGTGTTTTCCTGGGTGTGTTCCACCATGCACCATCTGCATCAATGCCCTTAGCATTACTCTTCTATCTTTTTAACAGACATAGTACTGATGTTGATACCAACTTATCAGGTATAAGTTTGCTATACATTTCGCAGCAAGTGGCATTTTTATTGCTTGCATTATATACACATGCTTAATCATGGTGCCTGGAAATATATTCATTATAGCCTTAAAAACTAGCATAAAAGGACGACTGTGCTATTGTTACTTTCAAGTAATCTCCAACTTGTGGTGATTCTATGAGTGAATGCTTTCCAAGTCCTGTCCTTCAGAGCCCTGCACAGCTCTTGTAAATTGAAGGCTGAGGCTTCCTTATGAAACTGATCCATATCCTATCTGATCTTCCTCTTCTTCAACCTTCCCTAGCATGATTGTCTTCTCCAATGAGTCTTGCTTTCTCATGATGTGCCCAAAGCATATTTTCCCTTCCAAGGAAGTTCTGGCTTGATTTGATTTAGCACCCACTTGTTCATCTTTCTGTCTGTCTATTCACAAAGCTCTCTCATGTTTCAAACACATTGATTTTTGTCCTGTCAGCTTTCTTCACTATCACATCCATACAGCCCTGTTATCTTAGAGTAACTTTTCAAAAGGAGCATTATAATGATATGGGACTATAAGCTTGTAAAGACAATAAAAAACATTCTGGGGAGAGATAAGAAGTGGGCTGCCACAGGGTTTTGTCCTGGGACTGATACTCTTCAACCTTTTCATTAATGATTTAGATGAGGAAGTACAAGGAAAGTTAATTACATTTGCAGATGACAAAAAGCTGTGTGGAATAGCAAACACCCTGGAAGGCAGAGAGAAGATACAGGATGATCTCGATAGATTAGAATGCTGGGCAGAGAGCAACAGAATGAAATTCAACAGGACAAATGCCAAGTCCTCCACTTAGGAACAAGAAACCAAATGCACCGCTACAAAATGGGGACTATTTGGCTCAACAATACTTGGC